TATGGTCTCCTGAGGACCAGTGGTTACAGTCATGGAGACCCCTGAACACCTCTGGGGTGGAACCGGTAATGCCTAGCACTGAAAGTCCTATTGAACCATAGGCATGGTTGGCTGAGACTTGATGGCAGGGAGCCAGGGGCCTTTTGAGCACCACTTGGGAGCACCTCCCAAATGAATCACAGGGTTGGGAGAGAACTCAACAGACTAGAGCCCATGCTTTGTGTGTAGAAGTCCTGGATTCCAACCCCCGGGCACCTCAGATGGTCCCCTGAGAACCACTAGCAGTGATCCCTGAGGAAAGGACCAGGGGCACTGAGCACTGCCAAGTGTGTCTCAACATCACTTGTATCTCTTGTCTTCCCATTGTTCATCGATTTGCTAAAACGGGCACCAGTAACATCTCCTTTCATCCCTGTCACGTGCTAGTGTAACCCAATGGCGTCTGCTCGCTCCAGGAACATGAAGTGAGGCCCGTTATTGTTACTGTTTTGGGCATATCGAATACATCATGGGTAGCTTGCCAGGCTCTGCTGTGCAGGTGGAATACTCACAGTAGCTTGCCAGGCTCTCTAAGAGGGATGGAGGTATCGAACCCAGGTTGGCCATGTGCAAGGCAAACGCCCTACCCACTATGCTATCACTTCAGCCCATGTGTCTCAACATACCCAAAATAATGAACCAAAAAAATCAACAAAAGCCTTCATTGAGGAATGGCAGGGGTTTATTAGGCACCAACTGGGTTTGAGATCCTTTGACTGCTCTTGTGTGGTTATAATATTGTACTCCAAGTCCAAGGAGCAAACCAATGGGTAGGTTTCATGAGTCAAAGAACAAAGATTCTTATAAGCCCCATTCAGAGAGAGAAAAATCATGACTTAAACACACACACACACACACACACACACACACAAACTGGCTTCTCTCCCTTTCAAGGCTTACCAACACCTCCAAATCATGGAAATCCTATTAACAAATACAATGGCTGAGAGTGCTAATTTCAACAAAAGCAACCTAAGGAAAGGCTAAACCAAACAGTTCCAAATTGTGTCTGCAAAAATGTCTGCAGAGGCTGAAAGTGGATATTGTAAACGTAAGCTCTGTAGGAGCCCCTTGACAGAGCGTGTGGGTGACGGCAGGAATAGGGAATGGTAAGTTGTGAGAAATTACATTTCCTGCTTCCTGAAGGGTGACCTCCTGCCAGTGGAGTGAAATCAGAGATCCTGGTCGGAACCACCTCCTAGAATCAAAAGGGAGACATTCTAGTCTGGTCCCTGGACTTTGGTCCCACGCTTTCCCTGGGTCTCATTCTTGCTCTCTCTTTCAGCCTCTTCTCCCCTTTGTCCTCAGGAGGGTATTGAGTTCCCACTCAGTGGGAAGAATCAGAAAGAAAACGACTCCTGTTGATTGCAACTGATGTGTGGGGAATGAGAGAGACATTCTAGGCAAAAGCTAAGTGGGTGATTTCTGAGGTTCTGGAGCCCCAGAAGGTTCAAGTATCAATCTCAGTGCTCCTAAGGTCTGTGGTCTTGCATGGTGAAAGGTGACTTTAAGGCTGGACAGACTGCGAGGGTTAAGGCAGCTTACAGGCAGCTGACTTGAGTTCCATTACTGGCACTGCACATGGTCTCCTGAGTCACTCCTGAGTCAGGAATAGCCCCTGAGCACCACCAACCTGGCACAAATCCCTACCTCCAAAGATCCACTTTAATACCAGGCCAACAATAGACAAAATAACGGGGATGAAATTAGTATTAGGGGCTAGGGAGCTAGTCTAGGGTTTAGGATTAGGTTTAGGGTTTAGTATAGGTTTTCTTTTTAAATTTTTATAATTAAAATTTTTTTTTTGCTTTTTTTGGGGGTCATACCCAGGGATACTCAGGGATTACTCCTGGCTCTGCACTCAGGAATTACTCCTGCGGTGCTTGGAGGACCACATGAGATACCATGGATTGAACCTGGGTCGGTCATGTGCAAGGCAAATGCCCTACCCTCTGTGCTATTGCTCCAGCCCCCAAGTATAGGTTTTCTTTCTTGAGAATCTTGAGTTATCTTTTAAGATTAAAATTAAGAGGAAAGGGTCTACTGTCATTTGTATACAATTCCTGTTCCCTGGAATAATAAAAATGTTAATAGGCAAAAAGGAATAAGATTTAAGGTTTTTGCTTTGCATGTGACCAACCCTAATTTCATTCCCAGCACAGCTTATACATGCCCTCCCCCCAACTCACACAGACACACACTGCCAGAAGTGATCCTTGAGCACAGAGTGAAGAGTAATCCCTGGGCACTACTAGCTGTGACCCTCCAAAACTCATCCCCCAAAAGAAAAAAATTGAAATTCATATTGGAGTGGGGGCAAAGAGATAGTACACCAGGCAGGGCACTTGCCTTGCATGCGGCTGACCAGGATTTGATCCCTGGCATCCCATAGGTTCCCCCCAAAACACTGCCAGAAGTGATCCCTGAGCACCACTAGGAGTGATTGCCTAAATAACAAAAATTCATATTGAAACAGACCTTTCATTCCAGAAGGGCAGAGGTCAAGTTTTTTGTCTTCTATATCAAGGATCGTATGTGACACCCAGCAACTATGTCCGCAAAACCTAGTTGCTGAGTTAACTGGATGTTGGTGAGTTCATCTGAGGCTAGGAGTGAGCAACTGGCTCCAACAAACCAAGGTTTTCTTGACAAATGGACCCAGGGTCGCTTCTGGGTAAGTCATGGGCAGTCACTGAAGAAAGATGAGAAACAACAAGAAAGAAGCTGGAGGAGATTTCTTAACTCCCTTGGGGGTCCAGCTTCTCTATGTTGGGCAGAAAAGACATAGGAATCATTTAACTCTATGTGCATGAAGGATTTCTAACTGGGCTAAGCATGTTAAGCAAAGTTCAATGTGTAATGAGAGATGAGGAAACTTTTGGAGACAATTTTGGCTTAGACAAGATACTCTTTTTTTTTTCTTTTTGGGTCACACCCAGCAATGCACAGGGGATACTCCTGACTCTGCACTCAGAAATTACTCCTGGCGGTGCTTGGGGGACCATATGGGATGCTGGGAATCGAATCCGGGTCGACCGTGTGCAAGGCAATAGTTCTACCTGCTGTGCTATTGCTCCAGCTCTTTAGACAAGATACTCTAAAGGAAGGTTTGTAAAGTCACAAGTGTCACTTGGTTGTATCCAGGAAATGAAAGGCTTTGGCTGGGGTGTAAGGCTAGGATTGATTGAGTCCCATTCAAAATGTGGGTGTGACAGGGCTGAGTGATAGCACAGTGGGTTTGGCACTTGGTTTGCTCGAGGCCAACCCAGTTTGATCCCTGTTGTTCCATATGGTCCCCTATGTCCCCACCAGAAAGTGATTCATGAGTGCAGTTCCAGGAACTTCTGAGCATTGCTGTGTGTGGCCAAAAACAAAAAAAATGTGGGTGGGTGGGGAGGAGTGAAGTGATAGTATGGGGGTAGGGCCTTGCCCCGTATACAGCTGACCAGGGTGACCCAGCACTATAGTTCCCAAAGTCCTTCCAGGAGTGATCCCTGAGCACAAACCAGGATTAAGTGCTGAGCACTGCTGGGTGTGGCCCTAAAACCAAAAATTAACATGTGGTTAAGACCCTAGAGAGATGGTACCACTGCAGCACTGTCCTCCCCGTTGTTCATAGGTTTGCTCAAGTCGGCACCAGTAACGTCTACATTGTGAAACTTGTTGTTACTGTGTTTGGCATATCGAATATGCTGCGGGGAGCTTGTCAGGCTTTGCTGTGTGGGCGGGATACTCTCAGTAGCTTGCCGGGTTCTCTGAGAGGGACAGAGGAATCAAACCCGGGTTGGCTGCGTGCAAGGCAAATGCCCTACCCACTGTGCTATCGCTCCAGCAGAGAGAGATAATACAGGGATTAAATTATGGGCTTTCTACCGAGGTCACGAGTTGCCCCCCACAAGCAGCTCTCTGGCACGGCCATAGCTCCAGAGGCACAAGGACTTAATGCAAAGCCGGGCAGCTTGAGGCAGAAAAGTGAATGGACTATGCCTTAATCCACGGTACCATGCCTCCCTGGGAGGGAAGAGGTGTCACTCCCTTCTGCCTCTTTCGCCCTGGGCAGCAACATGGCAGCCACCTTGGGGCTTATAGGAAAGCCAGGTATGAGCCTGCGGTGATGGGGCAGCTGCAACCTCATGGAAAGGGGGGCATTCCCGGTTCATCCTTCATGCCCTACCGAGATCACAAGTTGCCCCCCCACAAGCAGCTCTCCGGCACGGCCATGGCTCCAGAGTCACAGAAACCAATCTCGTAATTATCTGGCTCTTCACAGAAATCCCTCCAGACTTAATAAGTAAAATATCAGAAATTCAAAATTGCACGGCCGCTATTGTGGCCGCGTAACATCATATGACTCTCTTACAAATTATTTCACAATGCCTTTTCAGCAGTTAACTGGTTGGTTGTAAAAAAAAAGTTAATTGTTGGGTGTAAACTCTAAACAATAATGGTGCATCTTTTATCGAAATAATGAATGTAATCAAAGTAGATAGTTAAGTAGAATTCATCTTACAGGCATTGGGAGGAATGGGAGGTGGGGTATATTGGGGTTCTTGGTGGTGAAAAATAAGTACTGGTGAAGGGAAAGGTGTTTGATCATTGCATGACCGAGACTTGAACCTGAAAGCTTTGTAACTTTTCCCACAGTGATAAAAAAAAATTAAAAAAAAATCATGGGCTTTGCATATAACAAACTTTGATTCTATCCCCAGCACTGCCATGGATCATTCCTGAGTACAGGAGCCAGGAATAACTCCTGAACATTACTGTGTGGTTCAGTTCCCCACTCCTCCCCAAAAAGGGGGCAAGGAGATAGAATTCCAAGACCCATTGGTGCCTGATGAGAGTCTGTTTTTCTGCACAGAAATTTTAGCTGCGAAATATAAACATGGCAAGGACAGCAGAATCACCAAACACCAGAGCTTATCAAACAATCCCCCCGAAAAAAAAAGAGACCCGATACATTTTTTATTTGAGTATTTATTATTTTTTTTGTCCAAAGAAATCCATGCAAAGAGAAAGAAAGAAGGAGAGAGACATGGTAACCATGCTCTAGCAGCCAAACAGAAAACAAATTTGGCACAATATTTTTTTTCTTTTTTTAAATTTTTTTGTTTTTTTTTGTAAAAGGACAAGCTAGACTACTACTAAAATGGACCTTCTGCCTAATAAGACCATTCGATTTTCGAAAACGCCACAGATGGTTTGTCTTCTACTTGAATGGCTGGAGAAGGTGGGTATAATAAAAAAAAAATAGAAAAAAAATAAAAAGGTGGTTCCCACAATAGAGGTAAACCACGGAGGTGCTGCAGGGCAGCACATGTCCTGGGCACTGGGGAGTCAGTGCACCAGGAAGAAAAAGCACATCACGGAGATGGCCAGGCTGGTGAGAACCTTCAGCGGGGAACGGGCACTCCCAAGGTTGTGGGAGGCAATGATCTCGTTGTCATTCGGGTTCACATGGTGCTTGCTTCCGGCAGAGTCATCCACATCCAGGTCATAAGCCAGTTCTGTCAATAGAAAAGAAGACCTTTGTTCAAGACACAATTCCCAAGGCCTCGAATGGACCCTTGTCCAAGGGCTGAAGCCCTGGAACTGGATTTACAACTTCCCCCTCCCAGCTGGAATTTTTTTTCTTGGCATTCCCCACACCAGACCTCCAGGAGCCAGGGGTCAGGAATGTGGCTCAGTGGAAAAGTATGTACCCTGCAGGCAAGAAACCTGGGTTTCATCCCCTGCAGGGCCCCCTAAGGAAAAGATGTGAATAGAATCAAAGTAGAATCAAAGGAAGACCTCCAGGAGAGGAGGAGGCTGAGTATGGGGTCTAGAGGGGCTCCTTTCAGAGATCTCTTGATGGCAAGCCAACTGGTTGCTCCCTCTTCTCTTTGACACCACCCAGTTTCCCTGTGAACCCCTTTGCAACATACCCTCCCCTACAAAGCTCAGTCTTTTGTGTTTGTTATTTTGAGCCACGGTCCTGGCTCTGTCCTCAAGGATCACTCTGATGTTGCTTGGGTTTCAGTTATACAATGATTGAGTACCCATCCCTCCACCAGTGCCCATTCTCCACCACCACTGATCCCTGTATCCCTCCCACCTCCCCATCCCCCTCTGCCTCTGTATTTCACTAATAAAAATAAATAAATAAATAAATAAATGAATAAATAAAATTAAAACAAATACTCCCAGGGGAGGTATTTTTATATTAACAGAGTAACAGTGAGGCAAGTAAATCTTTCATTATTAGAACAAATATAAGATAAATGGGAAAAAAAGAAATTAGCTCTTGAGGTTGGCCCGAGTGTCAAGGTAAATCTAAAGAAAATCTATGAAAGTAATTCTAAGTCTACAGTGGTTGGCTGGGAAACTCAAGATGGCTGACCCTGGCCCAGGTTCCCTGCCTTTCAGCTTTGCTTTTCCAGAGTTGGAGTTCCAAACAGCTTTGCTGGCTCTGCGAGACTCCGTAGCCAGGTTTCTATTTCCATAGAGCTGGTGAATGTGAGGTGACATTCGCCATCTCTGACCAGCCAAGTGTCTTAGGGCTGATGGGCACCGGAAGGCTCCCTGTGGGACCCTGAGCTGCATCACCACAGTGGCAGAGGAGATGAGTGAGATTGCCCAGAGGGACGGAAGCAAGGAGCAGGAAGGGCTCCTCTTACCGGGGATGAAACTCAGTAAGTCACAGGAAGCAAGGATGAGGGAGGACTCGGCTCGGCCAGGATGCCTGCAGAGCAAGGGCTCAGGCCCAGGGCTGCTTAGAGGCTGGCACTGGTGAGAGCAGGCAGCAAGGTCAAGGAGGTCAGAGGCTGTGGGGGGTGTCTGATGACCTGGACTGTGAACAGCATTTTAAACCCGTCCACTCGCCATGTGCAATGTCCTCAACAGTGGTGTAGCCATCATGCTTTGGGTATCTGAGTCCACTGTATCTTAAGGAGCCTTGAATTTTCATGCATTTGATGACCAGTACGGAGGATGAGGTTTCTAATTTTAGTTTTTCTAATTTCATCGAAGTTTTCTAAGTTTACTAGCTATGTTTCTTCTTGCTTAAGTGAATCTCATGCCTTTTCAGTTGAGTTTGGGGTTTTTGTTTGTTTATGAATTGTTTTATTTGGGGGGCCACTCCTGGTGGGGCTCAAGGGACCCTCTGCAGTGAGTGCGAAGGATTGAAACCAGGTCAGGTCGGGTTCTCTGCAGCCAGATTCCTCTAACGGGTAGTCACCATTTTCTGATTAATTTCAATAACCTCCAGCTTATGGACTCCCCCACCTATTGTACACCATACAAATAATTACTCCGGTTTTCTTATATCAACTAGAGTTACTTCTCATTGCTCTAAAAGAAATGGGATTCAATTGACTTTTTTAGTTCTTGTTTTGCAGTTTGGGGGCCATACACGATGGTGCTCAGCGGCTATTCCTGGCTCTGCACTCCGGGATTATGCCTAGGCAGGGTCAGCTGCGTGCAAGGCAAGTTCTCTTCACCCTGGTCCTAGCTCTCCAACCCAAGTTAAGAAAGTCTTTTGTCTTGAGCACCACGCAATAATTTCAAAGAATTTTAAAATCAAACTTCCTAAAAACCCTGTCACGCAGGGAAAACTGCTGCTGCAAGCTTTATAAACTTGCTCTTCTTTCCCCCTCACTATAAATCAAAGCAATAGAAGAGAGAAAAAGGAACCCCAAAGCCATGCTCTACCTGTCCATCAGCCCTCTGAATCTTAGAGGTGAACTATGCAGAGCACAGAGAAGGCCGAGGTCAGCCGGCAGTTGGCGAGGAGGGAGCAGGCTTAGGTCACGATCAGATTTCAGCCAAGTTGAGAGCACATATGGCCTGATCTGTTGAAAGCCCAGCCTCGAGTCTCATGGCAACTTCGCCACTTCAATGAAGGAAAGTATTTTTAGAGCTGACCTGCTGAAGAGCACTCTTGGTAGCACTTTCAGCTTTTTTTTCTGGCTGCTTCCCTTACCCCACATCAAGATGAGACATTTGTTACTGTGGCCACTCAGCTCCTACACCATTTATCTGGCTCTTCAAATAATCCACTAACAAGATGCATCGTGTCTACCAGAGCGATTACGGCAAGTTCCCCCACCCACCCACTCAATGAAGCTAAAGCCAGCAATTGTACATTATTGGTTGGGCTACCTCTTTTGTTATTTCTAGTTCTTAGATCGGAGGTTTTCCAAAGATAAAAAAAAAATGATCACCAGGGCTGAAGCAATAGTATAGTGGTAGGGTGCTTGCTGTGCACGTGGCTGACGTGGGTTTGATCCCCAGCACCCCTCATGGTCCTCCAAGCCCACCAGAGTGATTTCTGAGCATAGAGCTAGGAGTAAAACTTGAGCATTGCTGGGTGTGGCCCCCAAACAAACAAGCGAAAAAACGATTACCCTTGGACCTGAGAGAGAGAGAGAGCTTGCATACAAGGGAGAGAGAGAGAAAGAGAGAGAGAGAGAGAGAGAGAGAGAGAGAGAGAGAGAGAGAGAGAGAGACAGAGAGAGAGACAGAGAGAGAAGGGTTAAGGCCATTGCCCTGCTTGATCTTTACTGGCTCCCCAGCACTTCACAGAGTCCCTTGAGTGCTACTGGGTATAGCACCCAATCCACCCTCCTCCTTCCAAAACTGATTATAGATGATTAAATTCTCATTGTGTCCTGAACACTGTGCTAAGCTATTCACATACATTATTTCACTTGATTTGACATTATTGGTAATACTAAAAGATAATATAATAATTATCACTCTGACGAGGGAGCTCAAACACCTTGGGGGACCAAGGCCCCAGGGCTCAGCACCAGAGATTTGAACCTGTGTTGGCAGGATACAAGGCCAATACCCGTACTACTTTCTTAGTTCATGAAGACTACATTTTTCTTGGCCCATATTTACATAGCTGATAAATGGCACACATGCTATTTGAACAGATCTGATTCTGAACCTCAAAGGAAATGCTACCATCTGTTGTTGTATACCAGTTGCCAGTGATTAAGCAATAATCATGGATGCCTTCTTGAACCCCCAGATATATCTCTTGCCTAGGAGAACTTCTAAGAAGCATGACAAAAGTCAGTGTTTGGGGACTGGACAGATAGGACCGGAGGTAAGGTGCTTGCCTTGCAACACACTGACTCGGGTTCAATACCTGATACCACAGATGGCTGGTTCCCTGAGCACCAACAGGGCTGACTCCTGAGCACAGAGCCAGAGGTAACCCCTGAGCACTCACTGCCAGGTATGGCTCAAAATCCCTACAATCAGCCCCCCAAATATACACACACATATATGAGCATTCATTGACAGAGGAAATAGAATATAATTTAATTCATCAAGCTTCATGGTGACCTGTTTGTTCCAAGCATTTGCACTAGGAGTTTGGAGAAGAGCAAATTATCTCCCTTCTGGAATTCCATCCTCTGGTTAGAGTAATAAGCCAATAGACAAACCAACTAGACACTTGGCAGGAAGTAGAAAGAGTTCAGGTAAAGGCTTAAGCAAATCACAGGCCTAGTAGGCATATGGACATTCCAAATAGGAAGATTATGGGAGGATTTCTTGGACCAATAAGGATATAATTTATTTCTGGAAGAGTTAAAGGAAAAAGGTTCTTCAGTTTAGGCAGCTTGAGGACTCAGCTTGAGCTCAGTCACCAGGTCAGTGAATGGAGGAAGAAAGATTTCGTAAGGAACCAAATGTCTACTGTTGTGTTTGGGTGGGTGTCTTGGCATGGGAAATCAAAGGTAGGGCCGGAAGGACAAGTAAAGGCCAAACCTTGGTGGATTCAAAATTCGAAGACTTTATAGTATGGGCAACATTTGGGAGCCCTTGAATACGTTTCAATGAAGAAATCACACAATCTGATTTGGGGTTCTTGAAAAAAAAATTTTTTTGGTTTTGTTTTGTAGTCATACCTGGTAGTGCTTAGGGCTAACTCCTGATTCTGTGCTCAGGGATCATTCCTGGCAATGCTTGGGGGACCATACATGGTGACAGAATGGAAGTGGAGTTAGTTATGTGCAAGGCAGAGCCTTAAATTCAGTATTATCTCTCCAGCCCCTGAAAAGATTATTTTAACAGATTGGAGGATACCCCTCGGTGGGAGAAGCAACAAGAAGCCTGTGGGAACAGGATCTGAGGATCAGCCAGGAGCAAATGTAATGAATTACCAAAACAAAACAAAACAAAACACCCCAAACCCCAAACCTACTCTTAATCTACACTAAACCAAAACCATCCCAGTTTGCTACAAACCAGATGTGTTATGGGAATCATCATGGCCCATCCTCTTGAAAATGCATATACATGTATGTTTACCAGTGATTTTCCAGAACACGGCTTTGTTGGAGAAGGGACATATTAGGACACGTACACCAATTGCTTCTATCGTGGAGTGAATTGTCAGGGAGAATCTTTCAGGCCAGCAAAGAGAATGTCATACTAAATCCCATAATCTGTTCCTATTTGTAATCAGTTTCATTCTGCCCAGAGAGTAGCCCAACAATCTGTACTAATTACT